TTCAACTTATGCTTTTTCCCTTTCTCTTTGGGCCTATTCCTTCTACCCCTCTTTGTAATTTCTTACACATGTATTCTTCTTGTGGAGACCATATATAAAATGAAAGTTAGGTGGCACACAGCTTTCCTTTAGGTAGCACATGTAACAACAGCAGTTTAAGACAAGATGGGATGTGGATGAGTGCATTTTTTGATGCACTTTAAAGATGCTGTTTAAAAAAAGATTAAATACCATTAATAGTAGATTTGATAATCTACTTAATATACTGACTGCAAATTCCTCTCACAATCCAAGGTAGCTCTATGTATGCAAAAAAGGTAGTAGTAATTTGGTAAATAGTTTTCCTCTATTTAAAACTTCATGTGTTCTGACTTACTGACTTTTAGATTAGTGCAGGACTGGATAGCAAGTGGAAAATTCACTATCTAAATGAAGCATAGCCACTGAGTAGGCCACTGAAATTGGAATCTTTACTGTTGGCATTTCTAACTGCAATGACTGCATATTCCTTGAAATTTGGCTCTCCAATGCTTTATTCTTTTCATCATGTCTAGAGTATGAGATCAGAACATAAAAATAGCTTCTTGTGTCACATTTTTCTGAGAAGTACATGCAAAAATAGAATATAATATCAGAGCCAGTACCTAAAACTGAAGTCATTATGATTGGAAGGTACTTAAATATAGACAAATTTCAATAAATTATGTCCAACAAAAGGAATTGAACCCTGCTGTTAAACAGGATGCTCAACAGAACAGTTTATATTCCAGTTGAATACCTGCTGCCACAAAGACCACACACATAGTTAAAAAAGCTTAACATGAACGGAGCTCTGCATTAATTAGAAAGAAAAAAATCTTTTACTTTTCATTGGGCAAGTTTTGCAAGGGTTGCATATATTACATATATTAACCTCTAATTAAGCACCTTTTGGCACTACCTTGGTGCTTTTTCAAATGTTAATTCTTTCCTTATTAAGCAGATGTCTTTGACATTCACTGTCATTAGGTTATCGGAGTATAAATCCCAATAAAAAAGAGAATGCAAATTAAATTTACCCTGATTAAATGGAGTTTATGCTAATCACAACATCTTTCAATAACTTTTTCACAGTAGGAAATACCATTTCCTGAGAATAAATCTGTGCTCTAGCATTGCAGCTGAAGCAATAGTGCAAGAAAATCATCCTTCAGAAGCCCCACTAAGACCGGGATGCTCTTTGCAAAATGGGACTAGAGCAGCCAGAGGCTGTCACATGAGAGAGAAAGGGAGGAACAGAAGAGAATGCCTATGTTCATAGAATTGATTTGTTTAAAGCACAGAGTTCTCCATAGTCCTAGGCATACAGGTCATCTGGTCCAGAGCATCACCACTGTACACCAGAACAGCACCCTCTTCATAGACACTAGCAAGTGGCCATTTGCCTATACAGCGATTCACCATAACAGGGACTTAAAGAATATCAATTACTGTGGAACACTGTGGTAAAAGCTAAAACTAGCCATAAAAAATATGGATAACTTAATTAGAAACTACTAAAAAAATTAATGTATTTAAAACTATAGATCCACCACAGTATATTTTGTGAACAAATATATGAGCATTTCCCCCCCAAAATATCAGTGTAATTAATAGACTGAAATATAGTTGGGGGTGTTTTGAGTACGTTATTCTAGGTAGTAGTAAACAGAAATCAGAGGGCAAATTAACAAGGAGATTTGGAACAATAAACTCCAGTCTCAAACTACTTAATATGAACCTGCAGTAAATTGCATCCAGTTGTCTATAACAAAATGCTTCACGGGACTAGGATGACAAATTAATATCATGGCATAAAACTGAAAAGAGTATTCCTAGAATTGGTAATTGACACTGTTTACTGAAATAACCAAATTACAAAAGTGCCTAATAAAAACCCCACTGCAGCCTTGAAAAATAGGAATAATGCTTACAATAAAACAAATCTGAAATTTAGACAAGTTTGCAGGAGGAAAAAATCAATCACTAAAGACAAATGGCAATATTTTATGCCAAAGCAATTTGTAAGTGCTATCCCAGATTTCCAGGGTTTTTTTACACATACACTTTTCTGAACACAGGAAAATTAGCTGAATGAAAGTACCTTCTGCTATAGCTCTCCATAAAAGGATTTACATGAAGTTCTCTTCAGTAGGGCCAATATTCCTGTAATTTATATTAAAAATGGTAAAAAAGATACATTAGTTTTTTAAGTCCTACTAAAATGGATATAAAAACCACTTAGTTATTTACATTTTATAGGTAATGAATTTTCTACCACAGAGATGTAAATTTGAAAAAACATAATAGAAATATGCTACAAATTAATAAAATTCATATAGTTAAGAAAAATGCAAATCAAGTTTATATTGGTCCCTAGCTTGCAAGAATAAGAAACATTAAATTCTGAAGGTTTTTAGCTGTTACTGGTAACTACAGAAAAATGTAAAATTACAGGAAAAACCCAAGCAATCTAGATGAATTTGTTCTTGAAGGTGCAATTGTAGTTGAAAATACATTGTATTTTGAGTCTTCTATTTTGTTCTAATATTTTGGAAGTTAGAACATCATTAAAGCGATTCTCTGGTGACCACTCCTGAAAGCACACACAATGCTGGGGCAATATGATCCTGTGGGTGTTCTCATTTATGCCAGGTACTGGCTGTCTCAGTACCTAGAGGAGATAAACATGATCTAACAACATGCACAGCTGCATTTGTTAAATTTCTTCTCTCCCTCCCCCATCCTCCATTTCTCTTCTGCATAGCCATTTCTGCATCATGGATTGTCTGTGCCAGATTTCAGACATAATAGTCTGCTCCTCAACTATTTTAAACCAAAATATCATAATTAATACTGGGTTGTAATGGCAAATGGTAACCAACTCTGAAAAAAGAGTACGACATGAATAGCAGTTTTAAGCCATACCCCTTCCCACATAAAATATCCTATTCACTTCAGCCACCTGCTGTCTCCTGATACCCTTGACACATATCTCGTTCCCCTCAGCACAGCCACATTCTGCCCAAGCTCTCTCTTCTACCTGTGGTGCAACTGCCCACCTGCACTGTCATGCCTACATTGTAACCCAGCCCGGTCACAGAGCTTATCTCACTGGCACTGTGCCATTGTGTCATTTCTGAGTGGGATGTACAACCTGAAAGTATCTAGTTAGGAAGTGAGGAAGGTGCAAGGAAGTGTCATGGAGCAGGAATACAGTGACTTTCTTCCCTCTAGAAATCTTTCTCTTCCTATTAGCCACCTAAAATATTTTCCATAATAGCAAAGAAAAATATGCTCCTAACTGTAAAAACAATTAGAGAATAATTAGAATTAGTTTTAAACCAATTATGTCCTGTAAACCTGATAAATAAAAGACAACAAACCCCACAGTATTGATTAAAATCCCCTATATCACCTTTAAATCTAGCTATGTTTATTTAGGTTTTCCAGTGTGTTGACTGTCCCTCCTGGCCTATCTGATAAAACTACCCTCCACATTCAAGCCTACTTTTCTAATTCAATTCAGGAGCAGCAGTGGGGTTTTTCTGGGGGCGTTGGGGAGGAGAGACTGATGTGACAAAGTAACTGATGACTGGTGATACCATTGGCATTTTTTTCTGAAAAAGGGGGTTCACAATAATTATGGTAATAACACATCTTTAGTTTCTATGGTATAATCAGCCATGTTTTTCTATGCTGACACATCAGGCAAAAATCTTTCAGTTGTTCTCCAGGAAAAGCCTGTGTAACCCACAGAAGTAGACCAATTATTATAAAATTATGAGTTTCCACAAGACATAACCTATTGTACATGTATTGTGAGGAATATTCTTGCAAGAATGACTACAGGTGAGGAAATGAACTACAACCCATATTTAAGATAGAAGCTATCGGCAGCTATGAGAAAAGAATACATTTATTACATATGGACAAAGCACAATTGTCCTTGATTACCAGTGACACACTCAATTTAAAAGTAAATTTCAAATGCTTGTTCACTATTAGATTCATAAAACCCAAGGTCAATGTATTAATTGTTTATATGTTACTGCAAAAATGGCTTTTACAATTTATTTTATATGATTTTATTTGTAGGAGTTCTATTTGAGGCTTCATTAAGTTGCATTGTGTTAATTTTTTTTTCAATAGTTACTGGAAAATACTCTCCAATCTAGGATAATCAATTCAGGGTCCAAATTCTTCTTCTTCTAACACAAGATGCATAATATCCACATTTAAGATCAGTTGGGAGTTATTTCAGTGAGATCATATACAAGGGTAGCATTAAAAAGGTATACAACAATAAAGCCATCCGCAAACAATAAAAAAGAAGTAGTCTAATGAAGGCAGTACATTTTGAAAACCTATGCCATTTAAGCCAATAAGAGCTCTAGCAAATAAGTTCTGCAAAATCTTGCTGGAGAGATTTACACAGTCATCAGACCAACCACCTACCCACTCTTTTTTTTTTTTTTTTGATATTGCCACATCTATCAAATTCAGTTGATAGGTCACAGCAGAATTGAAAATCAAGTTTCTGAAATACAAATGCCCATGTACATCTGGTTTCCAAGCCCTCATTAGTTGTTTCTACATATTCTTACATACTGAAAAATGAAATTAACAAAATCCCCTTTGTCAATTTTCCTATGTTCAAATATTGCTTAAAGAGCAACTGGTCTCTTTTACTGTGATCTTTACCATCATCATTACTCTTCTTTTGTGGAAGAAACCACATGCAAGAAATGCCAAAAAGAAACTTACAAGCATCACTATGTGTTGAACAATAAACTGGACAGCACATGTGAATCTGCAGCCTGCAGTGCTACAGAAATTTACCCTGTGGCATTCTGGAGAACACCTCCCTCAACATAGCACTCCTAATCTGATGCCTCTTCATACACTCTCTTTGCCCCAAACCCCACATCTGTTTCCCACCAATAGCTTTTAACGTGCATCCCCTTGATGTCTTCTAACAGGAAACAGAAAGTGAGAGAAGTTCACTTTCATCAACATTGAAGAGTCAGCCTGGGAGCCATTCAGTGATTCCTCAGGAGGAGTCTAGCGTGAAAAGAGGGAGAGCAATCTTTGAAAAGATGACATCAGAAAATGGCCATAGCAACAGCTCTGAAGGTTAGCACTACTACGTTGACCTAATATCTTACTTTACTCTAAGGGAGTGCTCTCCAAACCTTTTTGATGGTCACCCCTATCACACAACATTTGTGAGCGTGCATGCCCAATGTTTATCTCTTTATTTACAAATCATGTACATGTACAACTCTGCTAATACATTATGTACCTCAGGCAACATACACAAAATTAGAAATTAAAGAAGGATGTTGGATGAAATAATAATAAAAAAATTATGTACAAAAAAATTATTTTACAAAAAAAATTTTCTTTTTGCACCCCAATGAACCATCTTGCAGAGCCTCTGGGGTGCACACATTCCACTTTGGAGATCACTGCTTGACAATATCAAAGAATGTATGTATCTGTGTTTTGGTTTGTTTTAACAGAGAAAGAATATGGATGATAAAATTTTCTGACTGAAAATGACTTATTGAGCTCTGAGTGTCTAGGACTTGACTTTTTGTAAAACAACAGATTACCCAATTAAATAGCATAAAAAGACATGTCAACTCTGCCAATGAAATTAATAAGCCTTCTATGTAGTATCAGTTACTGACACCATTCTTTGATCAGAAAATATTTGGTGATTTCAGACTGTAGCAGATGAAAGGGAAAAGGAAATTTCAATGCACAAGACCTTTTCTAAATAATGCTGCTAAGTTTATTATGCTCATTGTTCAAACTAAAGACCTGATCTTTTATCAGATTTAACTTTCAGCCATTGGTTATTTTTTTCTTTTTTTTTCCCCCTACTAAATTAAAGAGACCTTTAACACCTGCTCATTTCTTCTTGGAAGAATTATTGGACATTATGATCATATATCTCCAGAACCACATATTGCATCAACTAGATACAGCTGCAGCTCTCCATGTGGGAGTATTTTTCTTTGTCTCTTCTCTACATCTTGTCAAGTTTTTCAGGTATCTCTTTCATAATATGGTTGCAAGGATCAGTTTTGGGTTTTTTTTCCTTCTCCTTTTAGAGTCTCCTAGTTCAAAGTCTTTCTTTTTCTTCTCTAACAAGATAACAGAATCCTCCATTCCATGCTCACTTTACCTCTGAGTCTAAAATGGGCACAGTATGTTTCAGAAGCATTTTTTTGGTACAATAGGAACAACAAAGAATATGAGCTATGTAAAAATGCACAGTCAACAATTCATGCCTCTTACAAATGAAGCTTTTTCTACAAATGTGACAGACCCATAGGGGATAATGTTTTTAGATGTGCCTGTGAGAGCCATAATATCCCATTTTGCATTCAGTCTTCTGAGAAGTAAATTCCCTATAGGCTCATTTGAGTGTTTGAAAGCACTGGCAAAAACTCTTAAACTTCTAATGGGTGAAGTTAGGCACTGAAATCTGCAACTCTGCACTCAAATAAATACCCAGATCCTAAAAAAATAATACTGATCCATAAATTATTTCTTCCATCACCCTGAGATTTGTGTTTTCTATAAGCAAGAACAATATAAGTCAACTTGATGCAATTTTTCAGTAAGAACAATACCCTCAAACCACTAAAGTGCTACGAAACTTTTTGCTAAATGTTTCAGTTACACCAAAATCTTACTTTCCTAGAAGCAGTATCAAGCAACATTCACAGCAAGCTCTATGACTGAGTACCAACAACTTTTATTGTCTCCACTGAAAAACAATTAAGGCAATGCTCATCCTGCTGTTCAACCTCCCATGAAAACCTGGAGAAGCCCATAAGGAATAATGTAGTCATATCATTGGAAAAAAAATGGCAGAAAGCCAGAATTGTGAAGTCCTATTATGCACAGATTTGTCAAGCTCCGTTTACTTTACAGAATTAATGTAACTCATCATTAATAAAAGAATTAAATTCTCTGAAATAGATACCATTGTCTAAGTCCCATGTGACAAAAGCAAACAGGTTTTTTTGTTGACATACCTCACCTTGGTTCTTACCAGCTATTTAATTTCAAAATACATTTATCTCTGAAAGAATCAGAAGGTATTACACTTTTAAGTTCTCTTGAATGAGCAAACCTTAGAGCAAAATGAACAAAATGAATAAGCAAAAGCTTAGATGATATAATCTCTCATACCACCACAAAGAGTTTCCCATTATGTTATAAAACAACTAGTTTCTAAAGACTGGGCATTTCCTGTTTAAAGCTTTCAAAGCTAACAAGAGAATAGTTTCCATTACCTTCACTCCCCAGGTGGTTAATAATATGTATCTATTAAAATGTTTTTTAAAACAGTCCATTAAATTCATTGGCCCCATATCAGCAAGGAATTGAGTCACATATCTAATTTTAAGCACATGAGTATTCCCATTGCACTTAATGAAACCATTCACATTGTTATGATTATGTAGAACCCACATATCCCTTGTTGAACCGCAGCAATACTAAGAAAGTTTTTTAACTCCTAAGTATTCTTGAGAATTAAAGCAATGGCTTATAAATTTCATGCTGGTAGTAGTCTGCCACATGATTCAATCTGCCTTTAAAAATGAACTGACACTGTTTGGTATGGTGAAATATCTCTCAGTGTTGCCAAAGCATACTTTCAATCTTTTCATTGTTTTGGTTACATTTGGATGAATGGTCAATGATGAACCAGCTTAGTTAAGAAGAAATGTGATTGACCAGGCACATGGTTTTGTAATGCATACATGTATAACAATATGTATTACAGTTAGGCTTCCAGAACAAGGTGCTGACTCTGGCAAATGCTACACTCTAGCTCCAAAAATGCACATCATGAGATAGCCACCCTGTCCAAGGAAAAGTTCTTAATTTCTCATCAAAACTATGTCAAGCAAGTTAATTTAATTTAATGTCTGCAAACCATCAGCAAGATGAAAAAGCATAAACAAACTATACATGGTAAATGTGATCTAAATATGGTATTTCAAAAAAAACCCTTGCACTCTGTGCTGTGACAAAGTAACACAGCACACTCAGAAGGTCGAAGACAGGGGTGCCAAAATATTTGAGAATACAAGTTATCTGCCAACAGCTAGCAGGAAGCACATATCTGAAGCCTTTTCCTCTTTCCTTTCCTCTTTGGAAACGATTTTAAGGTTTTAGTTTGGTCATCTACTGGCTTGAACTGAATATATAGAACAGGAGGACATACCCACACTGTTTCATCCTGTCCCTTTCCCTCCTTTCCTAAGCCAGTGATTTCCTCAGCTTCAGGAAACTCCAAGACTTATCAAACTGGAGGGCAGAGTGGGTTTTAGTGTTTTGGGTTTTTTTAGATAATTTCATTCAGCTATAGCCTGTTTCTGAAACTTCAGAATATACAACAGTTTTTAAAAAAGCAATGCAGATTGCAACTAATTTATTCTGTCGTATTATGCAAGACAAAGAGAAACACAGACAGATTTAAGGAAGATCAGGGTGGTCTGATATCTGCAGCACAAGCACAAGGATTAAAAAATTAGATTCTGGTGGCTTTATCTTCTGGAAGTTTTACAATTTCCTCCTCTCCCAAAAAGTCAGGGAGTGTCCTGGTTACAGAAACCCAGTGTCATTCAACCCAATTTTCCATGCACTGCAGAAAAACCTTGGGAGTACAAAAGGAACTTCCAGACTATGAAATCTTTTCTGCCTCTTATCACAGACAAGAGATGGTCATAACATTATTTTTTCCCTTTGTCTGTAAGAAGAAGGAAAAATACATTTACACTAAATTTAAGGCACTTTTCTGGGAATACTTTCTGGAATTCTTCTTAGAGCGTCAAATGTAGGAAACAGCAACAAGTACCTCTTAGTGCTAGTAATTCAGTGCTGCTTTTCCAGGAGTACTCCAAGTTGTTGTCTCCACATTCATTGTAGCTGAATTGTGGATGCTTCTATGTCTACGAAGTCTATGACCTTCACACCTAGAAATGAGGTTAAAATGTAGTTAGTAATTTAGATGTTTCTCAATAAGATTCCAGTAATACTAAACCAACTAAAACATACTCTAATGCAGTATCAGTAAACAACTGAAATCTACAATTGATTTGTAACAGACTCTGTTAAGCAAACTAATACTATCATGTATAAAGCTAATTAGAACACAATGTACCTAATTTTAATAGGTTATTTGTAGTACTTAAAATGACTTTTTACAGTATAAAATAATGCAAACATAACACTACCAGGAAAATCACACTATGCTTGCTATTAAAATGATATATTTTTCATTTAATAAACTTTCGTTTTTTTCCCCAAGGAGTTTCCCCATTTCAATAATTTCATTGACTTAAATGTTTCTGTACTAAGTTCTAAAATGAAAATAAGATACAGTCATTAAAAAAATGATAATACTGCTTCTTTCTACTACTGTTTTCTTTCAAGACTTGGAAAAGAGGTATCTATTTCCTTAGAAAATATGATGTCTGTTTGTACTTACAGTGGGGTCTCGCAAACCTGTAAGAGGAGTATCTAAAGAGAGCACTCCCAGGGCTGATAACACACTGCTGGATTTCCAGGAGGCTGTGCCCTTTAAAGAAAGAATGGCTATGTACAAGGCTGCTGCGTCCTTTGCTCATGTAAGCAATCAATGGTTCCTTACCTTCTTAGCTCAGTTTGCTTTGCATAGTGGCATATTCTGCATACTTTATTTACACAAGCTGAGTGATGGGCCACTATGGGGATCAAAATCTGAAGCCTAAATTACTAAGTCAACTTAGCAAACATATTAATGCATCAGCCTCTGTCTCTGCTACATGAGATTTTTCACGCTATAAACCTTTGGTCACTTCGACAATTCCCTTTAACCCACTGGAAGGACTGTTCTTTTTGTTTTACCACTGTTGCATGAACTGCATTTATTAGGGCCACAGGCTTCTAAAAGATTAGCAACACAGTTATTCTTTCAGCTCATAATGACAAAACCCAGCGGTTTCTGCATTACTAAAAATATTACTAAATATTAAAATCATATTCAAAAGCACATTAAGTTGGGACCTCTTGCTGTTTGAACTAAAGAATTTGAAATTACTGCATTTTAAAATAGCAGCTCTATGAGACAAGGTGTAAGAAAAAGTACTGCTTTGTATCAAAAATCTTGAAAATGGCCAATATACGAAAAAATATTTAGGAAAAAAACCCTCTTAATTTTGTTTTACTCATCTTTCTACACACCTATCAATAGGTATTAGGTATTTTACCACAATGTGTAAAATATTGATACCAAGTAGCACATAATGTATTTGGCTAACAGAATGTATAAGCTATTAAAGTAGAGTGAGACCAATCCACCACACATTTAATTATCAGTCAGGAATATCTGATAATTGGGTCTTCAAATCTCGGCCAGGAAAATCTGCCTCAGTTATGCAGAAATACTAAGGCTTAAAAAGTGTATGTCTACTGGACCTTAAAATCCTGCCTAGAAGTTGTAGCTGAGCTACCTTGTATAATGAAACAGAAGGCATGATGATGGCTTGCTATAATGTGAGAATGACAACGTTTTTTGTTTACACAAAACTTTTGGCACATGGGAAGAACACCTTTTTCCCACTGTAAACTAGGCCAGAGTAATTTCTGTAGATCAGAGACTGTATCTGGAAAAAGAAGGACTACAATTCAGCTCTCACAAGCCAACATCTCTGTTCATATGCAAACAGAGTAGTAGAGGGATTCCCAGTCTTACCTGCACTTTGGTCTTGGGAAAAGTGCTCTGCCATCACTTGAAGGGACCTTTTGGATGCCTGGATAGCCCAAAAAACCACATAGTGAAAACAGCCACCAGCTACAGTCACCAGAGTCTAGGTGTTTTCCAACCACTCTATTCCTGCCTGCTGACTTCCAAATGCCTGGTGTATATTTGCAGCAGATTCCTGCAGTCCACCTAGCAGAGAAGTTCCCAATTCCCTAGTCCTGCAATTGGAAACATTGCTTAAGTTAGTACTCCCTCTCCCAAAGAGGGAAAAGGAAGTTCTTTTCTCTCACAAAGAAAATAACTGCATGAAGCCTGACCCAACTTAACAGTGTTGAGCCCTTAGGAACTACTTCATTCACACTCAGGAACTCCTTGCAATTTCTTTCTGAAATGGATGGTTGCCTGAAAAAGGAACTGTATATCTTGTTGCCTTAAAAGGAATTATCATGTTCCCTTAAAGGACCCATAACTGCACTTATCCCCTCCCTTTGAATATCACCAAATGACTGGTAAGGTGTGCCCGAAAGGTTCATTCACTAAAATAATTACATTTTGGCTGACAAGTGAAAATCCTAAAATAGGCCAATGAGATTCAACAGTTAATGTCAACAGTACAAATATTTTTTGCATTTTGATGGCAAGACCTGAAAAATAATTGTCTTATTACTGTATCTATTTTGAATGCTAATGTTTATTCATGTCTACTGTCAAACTAATTAGGGTTTATGGATTACATTGGTGGAAGTTGCCTATAAGAAGCCACAGACAGAACCAAGTGCTTCCAAATTTTCCATTTGACAGTTATAAGCATTATAGCATACTGCTGTTAACTACTTAAAAAATAAAATCAACTCCTAGAAGTACATTCTTAGTGTAAATGGAAAACAATTGGCCTTATTTCATCACTCTAGAATTCACAGAAAACCAAGTTCTGTACTGTGCCTGGTGGCCTGGCAGCAGTGAGGAAACAATTCGAGAAAGTGCCCAGGATCATTCCACAAAAGACGTTTGCTCGGTACCAGCACCAGCATAGATCTGTACAGGTAACAACAGCATTTTAATACTAACAAATTAGGTATGTCTAATAAGATAACTTGAGGAAAAAATATGATTGCTTGCTTTACTGAGAAGTTTACAATATGACTGAGACAACATTTCCCTGATGTTCATACTCACAGAATTTTGTCTTTGAGATGCACCACAGGACTTTTTATGCAGATGAACACTCAATATAGACTAGATCCAACTAGATTTAGATTGAGTAAAGCATACTACCAGAGCAGTATCTTATACTGAACCCTGTCTCTAAGACTGTAATTTATACATTATCAATATTATAGTAATATTTTGCAATTATTGCACTTGACGTGATGTTGCCATTCTGTTTCGAAAGGAGTTTCCTGTTGCCATTGAATTAAATCTAATAAACTCCCCTAAGCAGATCAAAAATTGCATAGAAGAACTCAGATGCTACATAAGTAGAACAAAGCAACAGGCAAGTGTTATTTTAGATAAAAGGCCTTTACATTTTATTAATTCATTAGCATATACCATGAAAAACTGTTGTAGGAGATAATGATTCTGGACTATGTGAAATCCCCTACAATAAAACACATTGTACAATCTGTCCTGTGCAATCTGCAAAACAGGAATGGCACAGTAAATTTCTTTACCGTCCTGCATTTCTTGGAGAGATTTTTAAGCAATATTGTTCTCCCAGAGAAAGACACATCCACATTCTGCAATAGGTTCATTTTTAACATTAAATAAGTATCATCATATCTACAGTTGTCTCTCATTTCTTATACGTTAATACATATAGCAACAATTAGCACAGACAACACACAAACTCCAGTTTGTAGGGCAGAAGACAGTTTGCTGCAGTGGTATTAATGCATTTTTAACTAAGCAGAAAAATCCCATAGTGGGATGTAATCATACACATGCATAATCTGTGGTTATAGGAAGTGTTATGCACATACTTTTCTGATTACATGGTCCAACCTATCTGCCAGTTTTCTGGATGAAGAAATGCAGAACCATGTACAGAAATTACATGACTTTTAATCAGAATCCAATGATTTAATTTCTATGATGAGTAGATGCATTTTCCCTGGACATCTAGCTCTACACAAAGCCACTATGATGGTTCCATTTCTTCACAGAGATGTGACCTCAAAGCATACTTATTCATGAATTTGTCCTCTGTGGCTAGTTGAGGAAGCTCTCTGAAATCATCATCAGAAATAGCCATGTTCACAGAAAATAAAATCACTCAAACTATACAGAACCATCTTTAAATTTACGTTAAATAACTTACTGCAAGACCATAAAATCCCATTTCTATCTAACACAACTGCACTTTTGTGGAAAATGGGATTATGCACTTAGGTATTTGAAAGATTATTCAAGGTCACTGAATCCATCCTGTGATAAAACAGAAAAAATCTAGTTTGAAGACAGATCTCCAGATCTGGATAAATTTGAACTATTAATCCAAGCTACAATAAGGAAGCAATTCATTTTTTAAACAGTAATCTAGATAGCTGAACATTTTACTACATGTTCAATCACTGCATAATGAGTTTATGGCTTTTCATTCAAATATGCAAATAACAACTATTTATCTCTGTTTTTCTCAGGCAGCATCCATCACTCATAGCCCTCTACACTGTAAGGGAGATTGGTTCCGTGTGATAGGTGCAGTAGAACGCACTAGTCTTGTCCAGAAGAGTCAGCAGCAATGCAAACTGAACACAGACTTGCCACCTGCTCATAAATTCAACCAGAGTTTGATTACAGACCTGGGTTTTAATTTGACCACTGGCATCATGAGCAGCTTTTACCATCAGCCACCAAGCTGAGAAGAGACCATGAGCTTTGGTGTTATTGTACAGACACCAGCCTGGGGTGCTGTGCTACACCAGCTCAGCTAGCTATCTGCTCAGGCAAAGCCTCACTGCCCAGTGCCAGAAGCAAGCCATTTCTGACAAGTGAGCTGAACCTCCTAAATAACAAAGAGAAGTGAAATATGTCAAAACCATCTGATATTCACTCAACCATATAGGAATGATGTGAGTATAGCTACACCTCCTTCATTGAGGTTCATTCCAGACAAATTTTCTAAGAGTGCTAGTGTAGCAATTGCCAACTTTCTAGCAATTGCAGAGGATAAGATTGAATAACAGGACAAAGTTAATGAACAGTGAAAACGTTATGTTTTCATGAGATAAGATTGAATAACAGGACAAAGTTAGTGAACAGTGAAAACCTTATGTTTTCATGGAAGTCTTTCATACAGTGCCCAGGACTCCCTAAGTACATACATACAAATAAGCAAGGCTGACAAATCATAGGGATGAAGTGTGGATAAGTGAAATTCTTGTAAGAAATTTCTGCAAGGCTCTCACAGTTCTGATGCACCGATGGTACTGTGCTAAGAGCATAAATGGGTAAAAAAGCTTTGAGGAAGAAATGAAGATCCATGCCAAGCAGTCATTCTATTGTTACTAACCTTGCAGTTAAAGATCTAGTCTCACAATTAACTTCCACTGCTGCCTGCAAGATAGTACTAGCTGTTCATTTAGAACAGGAAGTTCTAAATCTGCCAATACATAAACAATTACATTAGCCAACTTAACTGAGAGATTATATGATGACCATAATGTACGGTTCAGCTAAACACAATATGCTTCAAATGTGAGCTAGCAAAAGGCTTTCTTGTGCCTGGATGAACTTTTGAGCCATTTGATCCCCTTGAACAATACATACACACACACATATCTATAGAACTGTATACATGTTTCATGTACATATGCACATAACATAGCATACATATTCTGAGCTGAACAGCAATTCTATTTTTGAAAGGGAAAGTATGTTTTGTCTGTTATCAGAATAGAAGGAAACTACAAAAATATCAACACAAAAGAGCAAACCTTGGTCTAAATTATACAGAACAGTTACTGAAAATTCAAATCTTGGTGCATTTTGCAATAAGATTTCTCTAAATTATTGCAGTGCAGAGGCACTAAAATTAATGTACCAGCCACTAACATATAAAATATGTGTAGCAATTACAGTTCTCTTCAGTAGTAGAATCTGAATGCCTACATAAAAACCCCACTCCTCTAACAAAACTTATACAGACTTATTCTCAGATTTACATCTTTTTTTTTCTTTTTCCATTTTTTTTCATGGTATAGTTTTAGCTTAGAATTACTTATTACCCAGAGACACAACAGGACACTTTAGCCCTCTGTATTAAGTACCATACATACAAGGCATAGGAAGGCTAGTAGCCCACATAATGGGCAATGTGAAACAAATGCAAGGGGCTGGAGGATAATAAAAGTCTGAAATAAAACCAAAATTACCATAAGAAACATTTCCTGAGCTAGCAGCATGCAACAATCATCCAGCTGACAGTGTTTTCTGAAGCTGACTCATGATATGTCATAGGATAAACAGAAAGAAATTGATTCTTGAGCCACATGAGAAGCAAATATTGTATGTCTTTTTGCTCCTGCCACCAAAACCAACTGTCTGTCCTCCTTCCCTGCACATCTGGAGGGAAGCTGTTTGCTCCTGACACTGTGGTGCAAGATTCGGTTGATTACACATTCCCATTTGATTTAATAACACACAGGGAGGCAGGAATTGTGCATTGCACAGAAACAAATAAAGGTATCAGGTCCCAAAAGTGTAATTCTTAACTAATATTAAATGATCGTCATCCATTGCAGGTAAGACTTATCCTGCCTAATAAGATAAGAGCAACCTTATCCCATGCAGACCATCAAATAATGCTATAGAATATACTCCAAAATCTATGGTGGCTACAAAACATGCCATGAACTCTAATGGGGTAGACTAAATTATCCTACCTGCAGGATATTCTATCCTATATCTAACAGTTGGCCATTACAGAGGAAGGATGCAACCACAGGTCTTCCAGCTCTCCACTGGTTTAGAATAATAAACAAGCAGCATTTAACCCTCTGTTACTAGAATATCAATTAGCCATCTTGACTGACACACAAAATATGAGATCCTCCTATGATGTCCCTCTTCCTCCCTGTATGTCCAGAGCAAAGCTGTGTAATTATATTGTCAAAATCTGGCTCAAAATGCATTTTAGACAGCCATAGCTATCACATTAAATGATTATAATCTTTTGCAATATGGCAACTACTTTATAAGCAGAACCAAAGTTACAGCAATAAAGCAGTAGTGACATTCAGATTAAATTTGCTTCCCGACTACATTAAGCCTAATTATTTTTCTTTTTAATATCCCACACCATTCAAAGGACACATAATGACTATTCTGAACATATTTCGTGTCTCATGAATGAGCTTTTCCAGTAATGAGAGCTGGACTTACATATATAAAACATGCACATTAGAACAGAAAAGCATATCTTAAATGAAAAAAGCCTATATATGCATAAATATATTAAAAAGCATATCCATATAAAATGAAAAGGCATATTATACATACACCTACGCAGTCATTAAACAGAGAATAGATGGAAAAATATGCACTTCATTTTCTTTGAACTGCCTCTTTTCAACTTGGTATGGGGTGAGCTCTACATCTCTTCATGTTTTGTGGCTCCCTCACAACTGTTATGTATACAGAACATGCAAGTGTAAACCATGCTGTGACATGCTCTCCTCAAGCCTCAGTTCACTTTGGCAGTTCAGATAGGATTGATTTCGATACCAGTAATGCACTAAGTCATTTACTGGGCCAGTAATAAGAAAATTTATTCTACCTTTTGTTTGTAAAATTTTTATTCATCTTATAGTTTAAACAGAGGATTTGACAGCACAGAGGTGGAAAAGAATTCCTAAAGCCCATGAAGGGGTTGCATATTGTTTCTCTGCCATAGAATCTAAGAGCTCTTGCTGTATGGCAGAAATTATGGGCCAGACAGCAGACACTCCCCTATATTGATTCAACAGAAATATTAATGGAGATGCAAGCAATGTAAGAATTCCCTAGTTTGAAGGTGGAATAAATCCCATAAATGTATACTTTGTCATGGGATGACTAAGGGAGAGATCTAATTTCTTGCCCCACAAATAGATGGATTTCAAGGAGGTGCCAGGATTTGACATGCAGGAAGCTTACAGCTCTCTGATGTACCAGATGTATAGCAGCAATCTCAGAAACACAGTTCTGCCTCCATTCACACTGAAGTTACATTGAACACTTGGAAAGCTCTTGCTGGAGGGATCAGAAGCTCCTTTTATTTGAAAGCTTATTATCAGTAGAAACTAATAGGCAAGCTTCCTTCTCACAAAGGAAGAAGAAAATGCAATTTGACATGAGTGAAATTATTTGTTAGATGCTGCTGTGCATGAGACAGGAAGCACATCACAGTTGCCTTAATAATATCAGTCTTCCAGATTTATTTCTTCTAATCACTAAATCTCAAAGTACCCCATGGACACAGATAACATGATGTAACACAAGTTCTGTGGCAGGCTTCAAATAAGAAAACAAATCACTGCCAGAATCTGAAGCCAAACTCAACACAGATAACCTCAGAAATCAGTTTATACAGACATCTTGGATGGTGCTTAAAACTCCCAATGATACTCTTTGTTTATTATACTGCAGTTGTCAGGCTTGTAGATAAAGTGCTAGCCTGTATATTTTTCAGGATCTTCTGGCTAGCCTATGCATCATATTTTTCAATTGCAATTCAGCATCATTTTTGCAATAGAAAAAAATATAAAGCATATGCAGGAAGTCATCACCTCTTATACAGACGTATTATTATACTTCCTTTTACAAAGTTGCATTACTCTCATGCCTGCTGATAGGCAACAAGTTGATGGCACAGTACAGAAAGCCAGAACCAGTCTTCCTAGCCACCTTTGTCCCCTTTCAATCCAGTTTTACATTATATCTATTCAGGCAGCTTGCCATATCTGCTGGCCAGGGTCGGGCTGCAGTAACAGAAATAACATCTTCTGTGTTATAAAAAAGCCTGGTCCAATGCAACACATATCAATCACAATAAAAATGGTACTCTGCCATAAAATGACTGTTGTAGTTATACCACTTGCATTAGAATTTATTTGTGACAGCAAAAAAAAAAAATCCCATTTACTATTAGCTGTTAATGTGCAATTATTTTTGTTTGTCTGGAGGAAACACCAAGTATCAGACACCACACAGTATCAAGCAGCACCAGGCAAGCTGAGTGCAATGAGATGACCTCCAAAGAACGTCAAACAGAAGCCTCTCAAACACAAAAGGTAACTATATCAATTAACAATCATGTCATTGGAAAATTATACTGATACATATCTGCTTTGCTTCTTCCTCCTTTACCACTTGGTACAGCAAGATCTGGATGCTCTGCTGAAAGCTTCCCTCACTAGGCAGTATGTAATAATTTTTAAAGGTGTTTTATTAAGTGTTTTAATTTATTATTGTTTTAACATGATAGTTATTGGGTTTACATTTATATTTTTCATTGATGCAAAATTTTAAGTATCTTTTCAAAAATATGGAAAATTCTTATGTATTGCATTAAATCCTGTAGTAAAGTGACTGTTTTGTGTACAGGTTTCTCATCATGAGCAAGTTATTCATGAAATAAAAATGGCTTCTACATTCACTCAGCATGACACAGGTAAGAAGTGGCATGAGAATAAAGGCTCACAAATGACCAGTGGCAAATATCTTCACTCACACAAATGTACTGCTCTTAGCATACAAACATGAAAATGCACGTTGCTCCAAATTCCAGCAAAGCATATTTGTTGATTTCAATGGGACTTAAGAAATTAGTTTAGAATTCAGTATGAAGAGATGGCTTTTGTATAAAGATGTGATTTTAAATATGCTCTCAGTTGCTTGAAAGAACTGAATGAATCATCTGAAAACACAGGCAAACATTAGCCCATGTATGTACAAGGCTGTGGATGAGAAAGGTTCAATTTGCAGCTGAACTGAATAATCCTGCAGAATATGACCACAGTGTTAAGACACTGCTGCTGCTGTTGTTCAGTCCTGGTACTAGAATTCATGCATTATATGATCCCACAGACCCCAGTCAACATTTAACCCTGTCACACCACTCAGATATGGCAAAACAGTAGGTTGTATCATGTACCTCAACAATTATTCTGTTGTTTTCTGTATGGATTTCTGTTCAGGATGAAGTGACTCTCTACACTTATGAAAAGCTAAGCACGATTTTTCTAAGATAATAGTATTTTATAATTCGCTGATAGAGTCAAATTCCTAAAATGCAGGTTGGAGGAAAAACAATCTTTTCTATTCTTCTTCCCATTGCAGTAATCAGTTCAGCTCAGAATGAAGAGCTCCCAAAGACTGTAACACAGATTTTGAAAGAGCAGATTGAAAAGGCAGCTCAGGAAAAGGCTGTTCAACCTGACAGAGAGACTGCAACATCTGCAAAAGAAGCAAAGGTCTGTGTTTTTAATAACAGGGCTCTTCCTTTATGCAAATTAGACACTGGTTAAGACACTGGTCTGTCTTGCAGTCTGAATTTCTCTTTAGAAGAATTATGATCGAAAATGTAACCTGTGAAAGTGGTGGAAATATATGGACTTTAGGAATTAAGTGCACAGAACAAAATATGAAATACTTTAGAAGGCTCAATAAGTACTTAAGAGTATGTGAAAAACACAAAAGTGAAAACTTCTGCATTCCAGTCCTCCTCTACTGATCTCCTCTTTCCTTGTTTTGAATCTGTAAATATGTATAATTTGTCACCACAGATTCCCAGAAGCATAGAAAATATCACTTTCAGAAGAAACAAAAATTAGCATAAGCTACAGCATAAGCTTACATTGTGCTTGTAATGCAAAGTCTGCATTTGTTGCAGCAAAAACTCCAAGATGGCTCAATCATCATTTTGCATGAATTCCACATTTCTTTTCACATATATTCTACAGTGCAAATTGCACAGTTCTTAGCTCAAAAGATTGGTTTTAGGCATTCTGAGCAATAGCTGATGGATTGTGTCTTTCCAGATCTTATTATAATCCTATTGCTTGGATGCTTGCAGAACTAGCTTTTGTGCAGAATAGAAAAATGTTTTCTATGATACTATGGTTAGGGGAAAAAAAAGAAGAAAAATAAAAAAGGAAAAAATGAAAAAAAAAAGAAACAAAAGAAACCCACAAAAACCCCAACACCTGTTCCCTAAAGATGGAAAGTATATCCCAGGAAATTATACTGCCTTCCACAGTTACTTCATCTTCTACTGCTACTACTTCAGCAAGCAGACTACAGGAAATTTCTACACCAAGGTGAAAACAGGACAGAACTTCTACAACTCCAGATACTATGAATATGGAAACACAGGAAAGTTTTCCACTAGTTATGCAAGAGTTCTGTTGGAAATGTCAGTAAATTCCAAGCCCACTGAATCATCCAATGAAGCCCACTGTCTCCACAGGTCTGTACCCAAAGCAAAGCAATTTGTGTGAACTAAGACATTTATATAAATGCTTCCACATACAAGTAAGAAAACGCTTAGACAAACATTTTCTAATATTTTTCTGGTAAATATGAAACATGGAATATGATTTCAGATGAGCAGCACACTAGAAATGTCCTTGCCTTCATCATTCAGATGTTCACAAGACCAGAAAAACAATGCTTAGAGTGGCATAAAATTCAGAGAGGAAAGGCCCTCTCTATAAAATGGGTCTTTGAGCACTAGCCTTTCGTTCCACTTAAAAATGATCCTCCAGACCCAACTAAAAGTATTGCAGACCAGGAAACAATTGCAGGTGGAAATGTTAAATACACAATCTGGATGTTTGAGATCCTGCATGCACATGCTCCAGGCTTTGCAGGTACTATGGACAAAGTTCTTGCATTAGGTAGGGGAGGTGTTAGTCCAGGCAGATGGATATTTGAAATGAAGTCACTGGACTATATAAATAAAAATCACCCCAATGAGGAACAAGTATCAGCTGAAACTTGCACCTAAGAAGTTTCTAAGTGTGCTGTGAAGACTCTGAGGTACATGCTGGGAGCACAGAACCTGGATAAACGTGGGCAGCTCAACCCAGTGGATGTCCTTATCTTGTTGCAGCAGAGATCTGAGCTGAAAACCAGGCTGAGCTCTTCACAGAAGAGTGAAGAGAAGAAGAATGTATTTCAAACCTCAGCAATTGTCTGTAACCAGAGACAACTTTGGTTACAGACTGGAGAATGAAACTGACCATGGAGAAGACACTGAAAAGAGGCATTACAGAATAGCACACCAGATGAACATAGACTTTACTCACGACCTACAAAGACCTGGTAGAAATAAAAGTCCTATGTGCAATCTCAGTGAAGGAAAACATGAGTGGTGCTGCACACATGGCAAAAGTTAGCTGAAACACAGCCTTGGCACACAGAAGATTCAGAGGAATTAAGTCGACCTGAAACACTCATTACAAAAATCAAACAAGCAAGACCAACATTCCACAAAAGATGCAGCGGCTCCTGTAACACCATAACAAAACAGTCTCTGATTCTGACTTTCCTGGTGATAACACACAAGTAGCACAAAAATATGACATAGGAATTCTAATAGATAGATTTTCATGAATACCAGAAGGCTGAGAAGCTGAAGATGCAGAAACTGTTGTGAAAACCTCTACCTACTATCTCTTCCACCATTATGAAGATTAGCACTATGAGATTATCCTGAAGAACTACATAGATCAAAATAAAAAGATACTAAAAATAGATATGAAAATTAAAATAGCATTACTATTGTATTTGAGAAATATTAACATGCTAGAAAATGTGCACAGAATGGACCTGACTTTTCTTGCTTAATATTAATGCAATATCCTCTAAACTGACGTAAAAGGTTGCCTTCATAAATAGCTCTAGAGACAAAATAATGGCCATGTTTTGTGCACGTTCATTTTTAGTCTATTAAAATACAAGATGTGACTTTAGACAAAATGAACTTCATTTCAGTGTGTTTCCTTTTTGAGTAAAATTACTGAAATGGTTTACAAACTAACATGGAATTTGAGAAAAGAATTCTGCTATTGCCTGCTGGGTGGTTTTACCAGTCGATATAGCCCTGGTCTGAATTCAGGCAGGGTCCAGGTTTCATTTCACTAAGGAGTGGAGTCACTCAGTGTCTCTCAAAGAGCTGAAGCCTCTTACGCTTACAAAATATATAAAAATAGCATTTATATTGCAAAGTTATGTGTTTCCAGCTTAGAAAATACTACACATGACATTGCATGATGAACACCAGTGTTCACATTTTTTGCATCTATTTTGAGCACTGAATGTGGATGGGATCCTGCAGGAAGACCAGATGTTGCCATAGCTTTAGCCATTTGAAATACATGAACAGAATACTTATGCTTGAACTGCAATGAAAATGGCAGAACAATGCTGGATGCTCCTCTACCAGCAAAATTCTGGTTTGGGATTCCCAGCACTGTGCACGAAGAAGAGAAGGGTGCTACCTCCGTTCACACCAGGAGCTGAATCAAGCACAAGTGTTCAGCTTTTATTGCTGAACTTGAAGTCATATGCTACAGAATATCCCTCCAGTCAGTTGGGGTCAGCTGTCTTGGTCATGTCCTCTCTCAACCTCTTGTGCATCCCCAGCCTACTGCTTGGGACAGGGAATGGGGGCAGAGTGGGTGGAAGAAAACGCCTCAACATTATGCAAGTACTGGTCAGCAAGAGCTAAAACATAGGTGTGTTATCAGCACTTCAGCCACAAATCCAAAACACAGCACTACACAGGCTGTTACGAAGAAAATTAACTGCACCCTAGGCAGTCTCAGTATAAATAAGCATGTTAAAAGTGAGTGAAAATACCAAGTATCAGTAGAATAGAGAGTTCCCTAAATAGCCAAACGTCTAGATTTTGTTTTGAATCTCTTCTATATGGTAAACAGTGATGACACTAAATAGCAGACCAGGCTTTTACCTGCTGATTTGGTCAGACTGTTCACGTGTGGTGGGTTGACCTGTCAGACACCCCCCACACACACACACACACAGCTGCTCTCCCATTCCCCCTCCTCAACAAGACAGGGGAGAAAACAGGATGAAAAAGCTCATAGGACAATGTAAAGACAGAGGACAATATAAACACGCTTATCAAATACTTTCACAGACTAAAGAGACATGGGAAAAATTAATTCATTGCCAACTGAAATAGATCTAGATCATGAGAAAGAAACACTACAACACCTTCCCTCCTGCCCTCTTTTTCTCAGACTCAGCTTATTCCTCACTCTTCTACCTCCTCCTCACCCCCCACCCAGCAGCACAGAGGGGATACAGAATGTGGGGCTGGGGTCAGTCCATACAACTTCCTCTCTGTTGCTCCTTCCTCCTCACACTTTTCCCTGGCTTCAGCACGGGCTCTCCACAGGGAGAGCCTTCTGGAAATGCCTACCTGCTTTGATGTGGTGTCCTTCAGAGGCTACAGTCTGGATGTCTGCTCCGGTGTGGTCCTCTCCCCAGGCTGCAGGGAAATACCTGCTCCCCATGTCTCCTCCACAGACTGCTGGGGAACCTCTGTTGTGGCACTTCCTCCCCTCCTTCTCCGACCTCAGTGTTCACAGGGCTGTTTCTCACACTTTTTTCCCTCAGTCCTGGCTGCATGTGCAGCATTTTGCCCCTTCTTGAATAGGTTTTCTCAGTGGCACCACAGTTGTGGCTGAGGGGCACAGCTGTACCCTGTGGTGGATCCACTGGAGTCAGCTAGAATGGGTTGTGTCCAGCCTGGGGCAGCCCTTGCTGCCTCTCTCCTCTCACAGAGGCTGCCCCACAGCTACCACAACCATGCCACTGGAACACACCACATGCTGAATTTTCATGAAGATTAATATTGGCTCTACTATTCAGTCCTGGAAGTTGTTTCAGAATAAACTCCCCAAAAATTGTTTTTCTTGACTTGCTGTCTGAAGTTCAACACTCACTTATCAACTATACAACTAACCAAAGTATAACTATTCAATGATATATTTTTCCAGGAGACATCACTTTTTTTTCCCTCCCAAATATGTTATCCCATTCCTCTCCTCCCTCTTTACATTCAGAATACTTGCATACCTAAAGATATTAACTGAGTCCTTGTGTTTGGCTCACACTACCATCTGCAAGCAGTGCATGCCAAGCAAACAGGAGGCTTGTCCAGAATATTGCACTCATGCCTGCCTGTCCTCTCTGTCAGCCTCTTTGGAGTCTAGAGACTACATTTGAGACTTTTTATTTCATGACCAACAATTCTTTAGGAGATTTTTGCAAGTTCTACATTATTTTGAAGATATTTAATTTACAGCATTTTCCACAGCTCTCATTATGGGCACTAGAGATATGTGGCAACTAAAGCAGTAGCAATAAAATCTATATCACTTTCTGTTTTGAATTGTGAATTACTATAAAATCAATATCTGCATGCAAACCAAACACAGACAGAATGCTGAAAGGTGCCAAATTTTCTGCTGATGTCAAGGGGTGTCAGTGGAGATACATTTATACAGCAATTATTTGTTATTTATTTGTATTTGTCTGCAAGTACAGTTTTCATAACAATTCAGAGATCAAGACAGAAGAGCAGCAGGCATTTTTCCAAGCCCAACAAATAGTCCATTATTTCCTTCTGCCCCATACTGGTATGAAATAAACTTTCTATTCATGTTTTGTACTTTACAGAGAAATATTCTTTATAATTAATTATGCTTAATACAAGAAAGGATTTGATATAGTTGCTAATATAATTGTATCTACCTTAGTATTAAAATATGACTGCAAGACGTATCAGGTCTGAATGCTAAAATTGTAAAAATCACAAATAATTATGTCCATAGCCTATCTGGACCGTATGAATGTACAGCCTACAGGTTACCACAGAAGTGGAAATCCCCAATGTGCTTTTGGCATGGTTAAGTAAAACTTCCTCATCAGAATTTCAAACATCTGCCCCTCTGTATTGATCTTTAAATCACATTGTAGATTCAAAGATTATACATATATTATACTCAATTCCACTTATACTAGAAACCCTTTTATAATCCTATCTCATTTCACAAAATAATTTAACTAATACAAAAACATGGAAAATATTGTGCCTGGTGTAGCAAAGCAAATAGTCCTTTCAAATGCATGGATTCCTGCAAAGGGAAAGGTCAGTAGTTTTTCACTTTTAAAGTATTACTGTTAGTTGAACAAAAATGAAGCCCTAAAATTAACAGCTGAGATACCAGTTAACAAAAAATGGATAAAGTTATAACAAAATATATGAACTGATACTGTTAAAAAAAGATCATAGCATGTGGCTTAAACTAACTTGTAACTTTTTAATATGTGGTTCTAGAAACTGCAGATTCAGGAAATTGAAATATGCAAACTCTGTCAGCAGAGAGTTTACCCAATGGAATGTCTAGTTGCCGACAAGCAGAATTTTCATAAATCTTGTTTTCGATGTCATCACTGTGGCAGTCAACTATGGTAAGAAGTAACTGCATGTTCACTCACAGAACTCGACTTTTGCATATAAATAAGCATGGTGAAATTATTTTCAACTAGGCTATTCAGCCCATAGGGTGTTGGGTTGACAGGGCTGAGTTCCCCTTTTCTTCTCTGCTCCTAACATCTGCACTGTAACATAGAACAAGTCCTTTAAATTCTCTAAAGAACTGCTCCATCCCAGTACCTTACAAATTCTTCCACATATTACTTCCTCCTGACTGTTACATACCTTCAGGAGAACTCATGAACTGGAAGCAGCATAGAAACATGGGTAGAATTTAAGACATCTGAACACACATGAAATTTTCTCTTAACTTTCCTCACCCATAAAATGAATTATGATGGTTCTCTGGGTTAGCAAACTACTCTGTAACCTTTATATGAAATGCAGGATTTATTGCTCTATCAGACTGCAAAGGCCAACAGTTTTGATTTTAATACATTTAGGGTTAGTTACGCACGTTTCCTTTACTTTACTTGGGAGAAGAATCCAAATATAATTAAACACAAATTTCTATAATTTGCACAAAGGCTAAAAAAAATTGGCACTGTATTTTCTCCAGCTATTTTGTGGAAAAATTGAGGATTCAGTCTTTGATATGGTGAAGAAAAAGGTCCAAACAGCCCTGAAGTGCTGTGGAACATTTCTATTTGAAGCTTATGCTGTGCAACAACTGAATGTTTTAAAATCACCAGGCATGACTCTTCTACATTTTGATTTTTAAAATTGTATGGGAATTAGCACGTAAAGGTTTTATATACTTTTTTTGGGGGGTGGGGAAGGGGGGAGGCAGGGGGAAGAAGGTATGTGGTCAGAATTGGCCAATACAGTCAATTTGCTCTCTTTTTTCCCTTTTTTTTTTTAATATACTGTTATATATAGGGGTACTTGAAATATCAATAAAATGTAAAATTCATGGTAATTTATGATATGTAAAAGTATAAAACAAATTTTCTTCCATTTGGCAGCTTGGGAAATTATGCGTCTCTCCATGGAAAAATATATTGTAAACCCCATTTTAAGCAACTTTTCAAATCAAAAGGAAATTATGATGAAGGTTTTGGACACAAGCAGCATAAAGAATTATGGAATTCTAAAGATCAGCGCAGTTCATTTGACAATATTCATGCTGAAGAAACAAATCCCATTAACAGTATACCTGTTGATCCTAAACCAATTACAGAAATTGATAAAGAGTTGCACTCAGGTACTGAAGGTGCTCATCCTGATACTTTGGATGACAATTTGAAGAAATCCACAGAAAGAAGTAAATTAAAGATGACATGGCCTCCTTCAACAGATGATGCAACATCTAAGAAAACATTTTCTGTTGAAGAAGCAGCTAAAGTAAATAAGCCAAAGTGGCCCCCAGAAGGTTTTGCTCAAGAAGATTCTAGTTTACATACAAATAAATCTCTGGGCAACAAACAGGAGTCTGAGAAAAAACATCCTGTGATGGAGCAAAGTAAAAATAATACTGAAAAGGCACAACAAAATCAACGTTCATCCTTTAGTTACCTGTCTGAAATAGAAGGTACAAACATCTGTAAAGCAAAGAAAAATGAAGCAGGCAATAAGGGAAATGATGAATCTGTGAAAGTGCAAGATAAGCCGAAAAAACCAGAAGCATCACAGAATCGGGAGGAAAGGGGAAAGGATATAAATCTACGTGGTAATGCCATTGTAGGCAGCACTGGGAAGGAGCAAGAGAAAAAAATGAGTGAAACTGGTGCTTCAGAAGCTGTACAGGTTACTTACATTGATGATGTAACAGTACAAAGCAATCACAAAGAACGCAACACATCTAAACATTGGTAGACGGGGAACAACTCTCTCAGCTATGTCTAACCCAAAGACAGCACTAAGCCATGTGATTTGCACTGAAACATGCCTTTGCAAAGCTGGACAACCAGTCTGGAAATGAAGAAATATTTGATATGTATGAACCTCCTGAGAGCTATTCTAGTGATACTGTAATGTTTCACAGGATGAACCGAACTCAAAAGATGAAGATGCTGTTACCTCTAGTCTTGCTCAATTTAGTAATGATGCCACTTGTCAGAAGTCTTGTACTAATAGCACATTAGTTTTAAAGGAGGCAACTAACACAACATTGCCTGCTGATATTGAGTTGGTATGCATTGGAGAAGAATCAAAATATGACAAAAATATACTATTTTATCTGACACTCTAAAAACATCTTTTCTTAGAAAAGACAACCTTGTTTTAAACTGAGGTCTAATAGACTCTGCAGACATAAGTAAAAATTCCTGCAGTCCATATTCAAAAACCATGGAAATTATGATACAGAACTGAACTATATTCATGCCTGTCGAGAAAGTAAAATAACCAAAGTGGCTAAGAATGACATAAACACAAGCTTAGATTTTCTAAGCTCAAGACATGCTGCTGTTCCATCATTACAAGGCAAGAAAGTCAAGTTCAAACAGCTCTCTGTAGAAGAAGAAATTAAAAGAAAGAGATTCTCGGATGAAAATTAATAAAACAGCTAAGTGGTTAGCTATGCTTGTCACTCATTACAAATTATGTCGTAAATAGGTATTTCTTCAGTCCAGTTATTTCAGTCCTCCTTCAAGAATTTAATATCCAGAGATTGCCTTAAAAATTGTATTATATACTCTTTATTACCCAGACTTTATTTACTCAGTTTATATTTAAGGCAATGAAGATGCATAAAATAAGTTTTTTTTCAGATTGTAATTAAAACCCCCTGGTTTTAATATCTTTATTAACACTGCATGAAATATTTTACTCCATGACTCTCCTGGAGAAACATAATCAATTTTAATATTTATCATTTGTAACAACTTCAGATGTGAAGCACCTGGTGTGCACAAAACAAGGAAAAAATGTCCATAGGCTTTTTATTATGTATTATTATTGTAACTGAGCTGTTGCTCCATAACATATTATGTACATTTGTTGTGTTAGCTCATACAAGAAAATCTGGGATTTGGTTGGGGTTTTTTTGGATTGATATTTTTGTGTTTCTGTTTTTGCAATATCATGCAATACTTAGTTTGAAATTGACTCATTACTGAATAGGAACCACAGCTGGTTGGTGACCAGTACTGTTTTGCTGTATTCTAGAGCTGCTACTATGGGTATATTGAATGACAGAAAAAATATTTGTGCAAATTCTAACCCAGGATAAATCCAAACATCCTAGGAACAACTGGAACAAGGTTTGGGGCACTGGGCAATCAAGCCTTGTGGTTGCCTCTGTAACTAATTCAAAGTCATTTTGACAGAAGCCGCTCTCCATTTTCATACTTAAATATGTACAAAAAAAATGCTTCTCATGAGATCTAGTGCTTCTCATTTTCCTTGAAACCTATGCTTATGGATTAACATTTGCTCTCTTAACACTATTTCAGCTTGCATGAAACAGCAACACATCATTTAACTGTTAACAGTGCATAATAAAAAAGCACTTTACAAAAAAGTATTTTGTGAAGTTTTTTTATTATGAATTTATACATATGATTTTCCATAAATATTGTGAAGTTCTTCATGCAATAATTAGTTTAAACTAAAGTGACAGAGTGAAAAGGAAGGATACTCAAAATACAATTTTCCAAATAATTCTTAAAGTATCTGACAGAGACAGGTGTTTGGAATAAATAACAGGAAAGACAGGCTGATGTTAAAACATTTGCAAAACTATTGTGCAGTGTTCTAGAACAAAATAGCTGCTCACTACAACTCATTGCCCAAAGTGAGTCTTCTATATCTACACAAAACAACTATAAACAATACACACACAAGAAAAGGCATAGAGTATTTCTGCCACAAGAAGACTCCGAGAGTATATTCCTCTGAACTATTCTCATGAAATGCAGAAATATAGAAAGATCCCTTAAAATGAATGTTGTCAGAAGAACAGCCTTCATGCAAGGCACTCCAATACCACTGTATTTGAGAACTTAATTAAAAAACATTAGGCTGTAGCCAATTGTGAAGAGTTTAGAATTATTTTGGCAAGATCGATCTCTCTCTTATTCCTCCCCCCTCATTTGGTTGTAACCATGATAAATTACTTCTAAAAAGCCAAGAGATTAGTAAATAGAGCTAAATGACCTTGCTTGCTTTTTCTAGTAGATAACACAACTAAAAATAACAACAACAAAATTCCTCCTAAGACAACAAAAAAAACCTCAGAAAATGCATGTTTGAAAAAAATCAATGGAATTTGTCTAGAATATATAGATCTCTACGTGAACTAAACTTTTAAGTCTCCCCTATTCACCAAGATTTATTATTACATATAAAATTAGTTTTGACTCCATTAATTAGGAAAGAGGAATGATCTTGAAGCTGAAATACTGGGGGTTTTTTATGTGTACATACATAGGGGTGATAATATGCAAGTTAATAATTCAAGTGAAAAGCTAATATTGTTGCAACATTTGTACCTAAAGAATAGTCCTATGCCATTTTTCACCCTCCTGAACATTCTGATGAACTTAAACCTGTATAGCACAATTTAGAGGAGCAACAGATATAAGTTATGATAATAAAACTGATTTACACCAAGAAATTAATGGCTCTGAAAACATCCTTACAAAATACAGGCCTTTTAGCTTCCCTTAAACAAAATAAAGAATGAATCACAGAAAAAGTGTGTTCCTTTTAGCCAGCTAGAAATGACTGAGATAAAGGCTTTGATGAAATATTAGAAGAAAGCAAAATTATAGGGAAATTTTTATTCCCAGAGGGAATATTATATAAAGTCAACATACATAAATGACATACCATATGGGGCAAATGTATTTGGATATTTCATGAGCAAGATACTGCTTAGCATGGGACAGACATAGAAGTACAGAGCCTTCCTCTAGTGGATTCATTATCTTTGCATTCTTTTCTCTCAGTGGGTAGCCTTTTTTCTTCCTCCAGCAGTGAGGATGAATGTTCAGGAAAAATGAAATGATACTGCATAATTATTTCTTTGAAGCACAAGCTCTGTTATACTGTCTTGGAGTTCTTATACATATCATAAGGATGACACCCTGTAAACCTGTTCTAGAAAACTAATAGCCATGGGTAATAAAAAGTGTAGAAG